CAATTTCTTCGTTTGCGAAAGGAAAGTCTCCAGCTTAACTCGCTCGTGTCATCTTTCCCGTGATGATACTGGGCACATGGCTGGATCACATTCCATACCTGGAAAACTGAATTGTTCCTGCCCTGTTCTAGATTAGCTTCAAACATTTTGATTTTATTCTTCAACACCAAATATTTTTATGGATAAATTTAATGATTTTGTTTCACTGAGTTTTGATTACACGACTGGGTTTGAGATACCAGGAGTAGTCCTTCACTATGGAATGGCAATGGTGGGCGGGTTTGACATGAATTTTCCAAAATCTTTCTATTCCTAATTTCAAATACTTAAACTCGGGATGGAGGTTTTGTATTCTCATTCTTATACTTGCTTATGACTCGTTCTGTGGTACTATATTGCGATATAGTACCAGAAGGATATTGCGATTTTGCAACCCATTGAACAACAAGAACTAATTTGAACGAATATTGACGAATAAGTAGGAAAAAAGTCTTTCGAATTAGGAAAAACTCTCTAACCATTCACATTACTAAAACAAATAGTTAATGAGCATAAAATACTAGTACCAGCCTAGTTATTCTGCTAACTTGAAGATTTGTTAGTATAGACTACTAATATCCAAAATGTATGAACTGCTAAGTATTTGGATAACACATTCTAGTATTCAAAATATCACAAATTAATATCTAGATATCAGATACCAACTAATATGTACAATCAACCAACTATTATTCAATATGAATACTCTTATAATTATATGGATATTAATTATGTGCTGTTTGGGTACTAGTATGTGCAATTTTGATATTAGTTTGTAAATTTGGGATAATAGTTGATTCATGGTGGATATTTGTTAGCAAACTTTGAATATTAGTTTGTGTTCTCAAGATACTTTAGTACTTGGATATTAGTTCATGTATTTTGGATATCAGTTAGTATCTGCTAACGACAGCAAGCTCACTACGAAAATCGCTAACCGGGCAAAAGACAAACAACCCCTCATACTAGCCGCTCGACAACCAGCGGCAAAGTTGCTTACAAGCCACGCCTGAGTCAGATCCTCCGAAATTGCACACCGAGCCACTGTTTGCCGCAGGTTTTGTCCACTTTATATGCTAACGAAAATTCAAATTAGTATCTGCTAACGGATTAACTTTCCCCATAAAATACTTACAAAAATACATACCAACCCATGAAACTCAAAGCCAAAGGTTCAACAATCTGGTCATAACAAATAACCTTAAAAAAGAAGTGCAATGCCTAGCCAACCACTTCCTATTGAATGTTTGAGTGTGGTGGCCATTTAGGATCACAATCCAGGAATCCATTATAAGTAATCCAAGTCTCCAACCTTAAAAGGTATCACGAAACATCTTAAGCAAAACCAAATCACAATGAGTTATCATGTGGTTCCACGCACCAACTTCGATCACAAACAAGTAGTACTTGGAATGCATGAAGCTGAGAACGGGGATGAAGTTTGTGTCCCAATCAATATATGTTCCCTTAACCACATCACCAGCAATGCGTCTAAGGTTGGCAGAGGAAAAGCTAACTTACAGCTCCGCAGTTACATCATTGACAGTGAAATGAACAAACACTAAATGGAGAGTGAACTTAAGTTGAAATTTCAATGTCTTAAGTTTCTAGTCATGATATATATTCCTTAAAACATTAAGAGGCGAAATGGATGAGAAAATTGAAATACAAGTTGTATTAGGCAATGAAAGTCTTTTAACCAAAACGGTGGGAGTTCGGTGTGATCTACTTACCATATTATTCAGACTAAAGTTTATCAAATTGAGGTCTTGAACAATGGTTTAGTCAGATATGGCTACAACTTCGTCATATGGTAGCACGCCAATAATATAGTTATCTCCAAATTGGGACCACCTTTCCTAATAATACAAAAACGAGAATTACCACTATAAATAGATAGCAAACCCATTGTCGAAGTTCCTCTTGGCGGGGTAACACAACAACCTCAATCAGGGGGCTCTTGTACTTGTTTGTCTTGTACGTTGAATCAACCGGGATAACATGGTACGAAGTACTCAACATCAGTACAGACTCAGTGTGAGCGAGAAAAATGTGTGTAATGTGGCAATCATCATCATGCATGCAACCAATGTAGTTCCCTATCTCTCTGGCACGGTGAAACGTACAATCCGTATGGGTCATGTCACCCAATCTCTCAATCCTTATCCTTGTCGCATTGTAAACTGTTGGTTTTTGTGGTGATACTGTAATTTTGGTTAATAGTTTGCATCACTCGTTGGGGAGGAACATCGGCTCATCCTATCTCCTTGATATCGTTTAGCGCTTCATTTGTGAAAGCATTGCTCTGGGTGTGGCCTTCTGGATAAAGCTTCAATGCATGGTTGTGAAGCCCACATAATTGTTCTAGATTTTGATTGTCCTTGATACCCCCAATCATCCAAGTATTATCCTGCTCAAGTGCCACAAACTCACTTGAAAACGACAATCATCTTTAAGTGACTTGATAAGATCAACTTCCTCACAATGGGAAGGAAGGTGGCCGCAAGCATAGCTAGTTAGGTGAATTTTAAAACTTGTTCTTGCTTGCTTGTAGACTTAAATAATCGAGTAGACGTGCTCAACCTGATCCTCCACACAATGGGAAGATATAAGCTAAGCATACTGTAAAGTAACTTGCTTTTCCTTGTTTAAAAACATAACTTTGTGATGCAATGCAATGTCAATGCTTGCATAAATTGTAAAATGAACATAATTCGTAACTTGAACATGAATCTTGTAAATGCGTAACTCAAATGTGAATAGTATGTAAGAGCGTATCATATAACTCAATTAGAATAAATCATCAAATAACATAATAAATCATTCAGAATGGAATACTAACTAGCCCCGTAAACCACTCACCTTATTTTCAAGCCGATTGGCTTGTACTATACCCCAACCTTATACATCACCTTACGTCCAACTCCTTGCTAGCTTGATGTGCACGACCTAGTGTCAGTTCGAATTGTTAGTAGCTGACCCAATTGATTACAGCCTTCCTCCCAGTAGTTCTCACTGACTTCCCATCCCGTCGACGTCCCATAGGCATGCAGATGCATTCCCATCATGCAATTTCATCCTCGACCCGCCGCCATTGTTTCGTCTCCACGCCATATTGTCGTTGACGAACCTCAGTTTCCAGGTTGTTGTAGCCCGTCCAATTTTCGATTTATTAGTTCCGATCGGTCTGTCAGTTACCGGACTTCGCTTCAGCTTGCGTTCTTCCCTATACCATTCAGATTCATGAACGAGAGATGATGGATTGGTGGTTATGGGGAAAACGAAGAAGACCGAGTGTTGGGGCTCTGTGGTTTGTGGTTTCTTCCCGGGGAGATGGAGATCGAGCGACGAAAACAAACGAGCCTTGAAGGAGGATAACGACTGATGTATAATTAATTTAGGGTTAATGAGGATTTAATGATTTATCCCTACTTTAATTACTATTACTACAATAATAGTAAGATAATTCATGTATGTCCAAAATTTTGCTCAACCATCTTTTTCATTTCACTACAAATCAATTCATTTCCTTTAGACCATCCACATCCATGAAATAACATTTCTATTTCATATGTGGTCCCTACCGCCACCTCAACCAATTTTACAATTTCACCACTTACCTATTTCATTTCATCTACATCAATGAAATACACTTTCTATTTCATTTGGTGGGCCCAATTGATTATTTTAATACAACTCTATATTTTATCTAAAAAAATAAAAAAGGAAAATAAAGAAATGAGGCAAAACCATAGAAAGGGGCACACATCTACCCCACTTGCTATTCCATTCAGACTTCCATTAAGTGGAAGCTGTCACTTTATGGAATAACCTCTACAACCATGAAATGATAAATGGAAGTGTCATGTCATCAATGGAATGGCTGCATGACAGCCGATGCAGCTGCTCGTCAATGAAATCCCTTATCTATTTCATAGTGGGCCTACAAAACAAAAGCACACTCTCTCACAACTCACAAAATAGAATAGAAGTGAAGAAAGCAAAAGAAAAATAACATAAACGTGAACTCACTCTTGCTCTTCCATTTGGTATTTCATTAAGTGGAAGATCTCACTTTATGAAATAGGGGCTCCAACAATATAAGGGGAAATGAAAGTGCTATATAGGATATGAAATAGTAACATGACAACCGTTGTGGATGCTCTTAAAATCAGGAGCTATATTTGGTCATAAAATTGTATGCATAATGCACTCTACTCTATTTTAGACCCCGCAAATACACCCACTCACTCTTGGGTTTGGGTAAAGTAGAAAGACAGAAACTCAAGCCAGCCAACTAACCAACCAACAATGATTCTCCGCCAAAGGTCACATAGCCTCGTGGTAAGGGAGACAGATCGGTGATCGAGAGGTCCCATGTTCGATCCTCACCACCATCATAGTTTTCTCGGAGGCGCATTGCATTTGTCCGGACTGCTGGCGAAGGTCCCGGGGTTTGACCCAACTACGACATCATCAAAGGTGGTGACCGTGGAGGGTGTCCTCGTTGTTAAAAAAAACAATCATTCTCTTGCTGCCCGTTTCAACTCAAACGGTCCAAAAACCCTTCCTCCTTTTCCAAGGCGACTCATTCAAACTTTTAACGAGCAAACAACCAATCAGCTCCCCTAAATAAGCGTCTTCCCGTTCATTTTAACACCTTCCGAAATTTTACACCACTCATTCACTTTCCCCTCCCACTTAAAGCAAATTCCATTCATTCTCCATCCATCTCCATTCATCCCTCCATCTCTGTAATTCCCCACAATCCCTAATTATACCTTCCCTTTTCAAACCCCATCATACTTCCTTCAACCCTAGAATCCCCAAACACAGCAACAAACCTTTTCAATCAATCAATTAGCAGCAAATCCAACCTCCCCTTCCCCTCTCAATATTCAATCGACCCTTCCGAGAGGATTAATCGAGAGGAGAATACAAAAGCAGGGGGGAACAAAAAAATGGACGCAACCGAGCTAAAGAGAGTGTTCCAGATGTTCGACAGGAACGGGGACGGGAAGATCACCAGGAAGGAGCTGAGCGACTCGCTGCAGAATTTGGGGATCTACATTCCGGAGGGGGATCTCACGCAGATGATAGAGAAGATCGACGTCAACGGCGACGGGTTCGTCGACATGGACGAGTTCGGGGAGCTTTACCAGACGATAATGGACGAGCGCGACGAGGAGGAGGACATGCGGGAGGCATTCAACGTCTTCGACCAGAACGGCGACGGGTTCATCACCGTTGATGAGCTCAGATCTGTGCTGGCCTCCCTCGGGCTCAAGCAAGGCCGGACCGTCGAGGACTGCCGCAAGATGATCATGAAGGTCGACGTCGACGGCGATGGGATGGTGAATTTCAAGGAGTTCAAGCAGATGATGAAAGGCGGTGGGTTTGCTGCTTTGAGTTCCACTTGATTGCTTTCAATTTTTTCTTTCTTCTTCTTCTTATTCTTTGAATTGATGGCGATGATTAAGTTGATCATCCAATCAGGTTCCATTTTGATTCTTTCTCTATCTTGTCGTGATTTACTTGTAAGAGATGTAGAGGGGCAGGGGAAAGGGAGAGATTTGATTGATTCAATTTTTTACACCTTTTTTTGGTTTCATAATTTGTGTAAACATTTGTTGATTTACTTTTCACAGTTTTAGAGAGGGTTTGTTATTGTGGTGTGTGATTTATAAGGTTAAAGGTTTACTCAAGAACTGAATCGAAAAACTTCCCTTATGTTACATACTTGCATCTTAAATTTGGTATATGTAGAATATAACGTTATAATTTGTGATTTGGAAATTTGAAGATATATATTTAGCAATTAAATCAAATATTTGTAAATATCAATTTATAAAGTTCACAACCTAAACTTTTTAGATATGTACGAAATTCAGAAAGCATAACCAGACATGTTGTGCCCTTTTATAGGTTATTATAAAAGAAAATTTTGTATACTCGCAATGAATTCTTTTAGCTTGCTATATAAGGGGTTAATTGCATGGTTGGTCACTGAGATTACGAAAAACGTTCATGTTTGGTCACTGGAAATATTTAAATCCAGTCTTGGTCACTCAAATTAGTTAAATGATTCAAGTTTGGTCACTCTCCGTCTATTTCCGTTAACTCCAGCTTACGTGGCAGTCAACTTTCATAGTTGACCGTTAAATACGTGACGTGGCAATTAAAAAATTATTAAAAATAAAAAAATAAACTTTTATATTTTCCACCTCATTATTACATTCATTAAAAAATAAAAAAATAAAAAACCTAAAAATAACCGAAACCAAACGAAAAACAACCGACAAGCTGCCGGCGGCCATGTAATCGGAGACGAGAAGCAGAAGACTCTGAACGGAACCACATGGCCATGTAATCGATCGATTCATCTTTCTCAAACCCTATTTCTCGAAAATCCCCTTCCTCGCCGCTACAGGCCCAACAACATCAACATCCCTGACTTCTTCCTAACAACTCTCTCCATCCTCTTCTCTTCTTCTTTTTCCTCTGCCTCTCTCAAACCCTATTTCCCGAAAATCCCCTTCCTCGCCTCCAGCCGCAGCCGCCGCTTCCTCCAAATCCCATCCATGTCGGTCTCAAACCCAAACAACCGGCGCCGTTTCGCTAACCCTGATTCCCTCTCCGATTGGCTGAAGCCCCGATTGCCCTCTGATTCCTTCTCCTCCTGGGGGGTCAAGCCGGGGACGAAGAATGTTCACAACCTGTAACGAATGGGATCAAAGGGTAAACAAGAAATAGTTTGGGGACTAGTTTGTAATTAGGAAGACATATAAAAGAAAGGGTATACTGTAATGGATAGTTATCGAATAACAGAATAAGAATTCCCCTATCTCTACTTCTTCTCCTCTGCTCTGTCTTCTCCCTTCTTCCCCTTCTTCTCTGTTCTTCCTCCATTTCTAGACCTTCTCCAGAAAATCATCTTCGCCAAGACTCTTCTTCCTCCCCAGGGCGTGACACAACCTCTGGCTCGAGATCTCTCAAGGCGAGACCTCCTTTGCCGATTCTACCCCTTCGATTCGCACCGTCAACGTCGCCACCGTGAAAATTATCGGGAAGAACAACCGGGTCCTCATCGAATCGCATCAGGAGCTTTCCGACGGGACGGTGAGGAGCCGACACCGGCCCTTGTCGGAGAAGATGAAGCCCGATGAGAGCCCTGATTCTGCCGTCCTGCGGGCGATCCGAGAGGAGCTCGGGTCGATTGCCGGTGGGGAAGTGCGGATTGTGTCGGGTTCGTACAGGGAGAAGGTGGAGGAGAGGTGTTCGGCTTCGTACCCTGGTTTGCCGGCGAGATATATGTTGTACTCGGTGGACGCGATTGTGGACGGGCTGCCGGACGACGATTTTGTGACAGAGGAAGGGGATGAGTATGGGGATTCGGAGGATAAGAAGGTTGCCGATCAAGCTGTGACTGTTAGAAAGCATTTCTGGAAATGGGTTAGTCCTGATTCCGTTGAGTTGTGAATCATTTGTTGGGGGCGATTGGGATTTGGGAGATAGGGTTGTTTTTAGGTTTTTATTTTTTTTATATTTTAATGAATGTAATAATGAGGTGGAAAATATAAAAGTTTATTTTTTTATTTTTAATAATTTTTTAATTGCCACGTCACATATTTAACGGTCAACTATAAAAGTTGACTGCCACGTAAGCTGGAGTTAACGGAAATAGACGGAGAGTGACCAAACTTGAATCATTTAACTAATTTGAGTGACCAAGACTGGATTTAAATATTTTTAGTGACCAAACATGAACGCTTTTTGTAATCTCAGTGACCAACCATGCAATTAACCCGCTATATAAGTGTATCTAATGCTTAGAGATTTTCCTAAACACTAAGTAAGGATGACAATGGGTCGGGTTGGGGCGAGTTTTGTCAAACCCAAACCCAAATCTATGGGTTTATTTGCTAAAAAAATCCGGGGTAAAACCCGTTGGGTTTGAAAAACTCAAACACAACCCAACCCGCTGGGTATCCGCGGGTTCATGGGTACCCGTGGGTTTTTGTGGTAAAAAATTTACAATAACAAGTTTCTTTCAAAATAAAAGTTTAACATAAATTTTCTCATACAAATTAATCATACAAAAACACCAATCTAGAGCATACAAGCAAACCGCAAATGATCAATACAAATTGTTCAAAATTTAAGATAAACATCTATAAACAATAAGATTAATTGAAAGCTTCTTTCTCGTCAACTAAGTTTCTTCACTCTCCACTTCATAATATCAATTTCATTCTAAACAATTAGAAAGAACAAATTATAGATGTCTCCACAAACATAAAGAATATTAGTTGTTTAAGGAAGATATATTATTTAGAATATTAAATATACCGAGAAAGTAATTATATGTGTGTGAGCGGGTACCCATGGGACGAGTTTACTTAAACCCAAACCCAACCCGACCTGGTGAATAGTATAGCGGGTTTAAATCCGAACCCCACCCAAAACCCGTCAACACGGATTTTACCCGCGTTGACCGGGTTGGGTCGGGTGGGTACCCGTGAGTGCGGGTTTTGTTGTGATCCCTAACCCAAGGAGACGTTTGTTTGGAGTTTGGACGAAACAATGTACAAATGAAGACCCAAGAAATTTGTATGTGGTATTTTAGCTAAAATCATTGTTTGTTTATGTATGCAGGTTTTAAGTAAAAAAGTTCAAAACCAAAAAGATTCCCACTTTACCCCTGTTTCTTCCTATTCTTCCAGGGAAAGATAACGTGCCTACCTACTTTTTTGGGTGTGTGATTTTTGACACCACACTCTCATTAAATCAAATTTTCATATTTGACCAAAATTAACGGTCAACTGGCAGAAAAATGGATGAAAGAGTACATTTGATAACCTTGCTATAGTAAAGGGCAAAACTTATGTAAAACATTGCAAAGGGACATGTTTGAGAATTTTAGAAAGTAGAGTGGCAAAATATAACTATAACCCTATTTATAATCTACAAAGAAAACTCGACGGATTTACAAAAATGGCCTTCCGGCCATAAAATTTGAAACTAGAAAAAGGTGTCTCATTTCACCTTAAATATATGTGCAAGTATATATTGCAAGATAATATATATCTTTAAAATCAACATCCATATTATTATTTTTTTTCGGTAATTACAACATCCATATTTAGATAATACAACATTTCAAACAAATGTGAAGGAGATTAGAGAGAGATGTTTAGAGCGAGGAAATGTTTGGTGGCGCTTTTGGGGAAGAGAAGGAAATGTTGCGGCTCATGAGATGGCAAGGGCGAATTGCAGATGGGAGGAAACTGAGCTATGGAAGGGGAGACCCCCAATTTTCATTCTCAACTTTCTAGAAAGGGACTGTAATGGTACTTTACCAGTTTAATTATTAATATTCAGATTTCTTTTCAAAAAAAAAAGTAATGATATTTAAATACAATATTTAGCGCCAACATCCAAAAGTTTATACTTGAATCTAACAAATAACATAAACATCTAAATATTTAGTACTGATTTTTGACACCACACTCTCATTAGTCTCATACTTCAATCTAACAAAGTTTATACTTCAAATTCAAGATTCAAATAATTTTTTTTTGTTAATTAAATTAAAAAAGATCATAATTTTGTTTAAATGTCGAAAATCGATCATACTGGTCATAACAAAAGCGTTCCAATAATTTTGTAACTAGTATTGGTTGAACCTAATAGTACCTTCCGGCATGCCACCGACATGACAACAATGCTATGATAATTTTTTTTGTCAAACTGGTTTATACTGTTGTATCGGTTTAGCAAGTAAAATAGTTCGACCGATGGTACAACCTTTTGTGTTGATTCATGCTAGTTTAATAATATATGAAAAGATATTAAAATCAAATAAAATTGAGCATAAAATATATTTGAACACAACTTACTTACAATCTATATATTCATATTAAAATAAAATACAACATTCTAAGCAAATAATATCTACTCATATTTAAATACAATATTTAATATTACCATTCAAACTATTACACTTTGAATTCAAAAAACAACATCTATTTTTAACTTTCATTTTTATAAAATAAATCACAAATTAATTCTTTTTATTAGTTAAATTCACCAAAATGAACCCACCCTATCCAATCCTGATTTTTTTATTAGTTAACTTAACAAAATAGAAAAGAAAGGTAAAAATTATGAATTTGCAGAAAAGGATCGCTCGCCTCTGCGTGCCTGAGAGCCAGTTAGCCTCTCGGGACAAGATCGAGCTGAAAAGCTGTAATCCAAAACAGGACCCTTCCTTCAGGTACTTTTGTTTGTCTTGGCAATTGGCCCTAGTCTCTGCTCCTCATCCCTCCAAGATTGTCTCATATGCCCAACTTATTGTTCTCGCTCTATTAGGGTTTCCTTTGAACTGCCTGGAATTTGGTGTTGTAGTTGAATCAATGGCTACCTTCTTCCATTTGGGAGTAGTTTCAATTTTCTCTCCCTGTGCCATGTCGCGCGTCTCTATAATTGGTGTATCTACCTGCGTGCTTTATGTCAGGTCAAGATTGTGAAGCCGCCGAAAGACTCCCTCTGAGTTCCCAATTTGTATGATCGGGGGGTTTGCGCCACTGAAAGATGGATTTAGACTTGGATAGAGGTAAAATGCCTAGTCTTGATTGCTTCTTGATTGACGCGTAGCTGTGAAATGGAATTCGAAGTTGAATTTTTCTATTGGATAAGTCTAGTTCAGAAACTTGTCATCTCAAAACAAATTATGGCCGTGCCAGAAGGAGATTCATCTTGTGTATATACCTTCAATGGTCGGTTTTAGCGTTATGACTTGGAAACATTACCATATTACATTGGTGGGAATCACAGCCAGCTAGCAGATTGTAGTTTGCATCACTATTTAATTTGGACTTTCTCGGAAAGTTCTTTCGCCCGAGTCTGAGCTATTTAGTGCTTGTATGTTCAGCCCTTTATATTTCCACGAACAAGATCATTGAACTTTAGAATGAAGGAAGTAAGAAATACACGAAGAGAGGAGGTCAAACTTAATTTCTTTATGCTTAGTATATAGTCAGGTGAAGCGCTCCTGTCTTTGATGTGATTAGCATTCGAAACAATGCAACTGTTTCATGAATTTTTTGAAACGGAAAGTATGTGGCGCTGGATGCAGAATGGTGCCTTTAGGCAGCAATTCTATTCAGTAACAATTGTGTAAACGTGACCGGAATGGATATTCATGTAAACAATTTCCCCCCTGGCAAAGTGGTCGTCTAAGTTCAGTTGAGAAAAATGACCTGTTTGGTCTTAGATTAGTTTGCCTCGAATGTGATACTTTTAGTGTAATTATTATTCCCAGTTACAATCTGTAAGGTAAATTTCACTTGAAATATGTTATAGATATGTGCCAACTACTTGAAGAAATTTACTTAACTCGGAGCAACTAGCATGGCTGGTACATAAAATTGTGCCAACTTTATACCAGCAACTATTGCAGGATTCTTCCTCTGAATAGCCTTATCAGAATTCTGCAAGGCATTGATGTTTTGACAATATATTACGTCTTATTATGCTCATACAGTGAAAGTATCTAATTATTATTGTTTATCTAGTTCAAAATTTGTATATTCATTATAATTTGGTTTTGACTATCTTCCGTACAGTAAGCTACAAGTCTGAATGATTAGCAATGTCTGCCTCTTGATCTTTTGCAAGTAAAGTGGCCCTTTTAGATCATAACATGTCATTACATCTTGTATAGCCTTGAGCTTATAGACATTAACATGGTTTTGAGATTACACTATTCATCTGAGATAAGTAGTACCTTGACAGACAACTAATGGTACTTACCCGAGCGTTCAACTTTAACTAACTAAACCAAAAAGTTGTGCTTCTAGGAATGGATAAGTTTGTGATGATGTCTTAATAGTTGTGTTGATTATGCTGCAGTGGATGTGGATCTAGACAAGGAAGTTGACGGCCCTGTGGAAGAAAATACTGGTGTATCAGAAGCGGAGTCAAATCTAGAACCATACGTTGGCATGGAATTTGAATCTGAAGATGATGCCAGAAATTTTTACGTCGAGTATGCTAGACGGGTTGGATTTTTTGTGCGTGTTATGCAACGTCGCCGTTCTGGGGTTGATGGAAGGACTCTTGCTCGTAGACTTGGATGCAACAAACAGGGATTCTCGCCTAATAATAAGGGCAGACTTGTACAAGATAAGAAGCCACGATCAAGTGCCCGTGAGGGGTGCAAAGCAACAATCTTAGTTAAATTGGAGAAGTCAGGAAAATGGGTTGTCACAAGATTTGAAAAGGAACATAATCACCCCTTGGTTGCAACTGCCAATGGTTTCAATGCAGCGGTTAGTATCTCGATCGATGACCACATCTTATTTGGATGATCAATGATGACACAACTAACATATACAATTGCTATAACGTTTTAGTCTACTTTATCAATAATAGTGGTCAAGAGGCTCGATCTCGCTTAGAACTTCATCTTATGTTTATTGTACTTAGGCAGATTTCTGCTACTTATATCCATGGATGATTACTTTTAACTATATCTAACTATCTTGACAATTACTAGTTGGAACTTATGTTCACTAGTGATATCCAGTATTGTCATGTTAGCTAAGAACGCTCTTATTAGGTTCCTTGTTTTTTCTATGATTTTCACCATGAAAAGAATGTGTCGGCTTCAAGGACAGTTGGTACTGTGGTTAACAGATGCTTGGTTTAGCAATTCTGCCCCTGTGGTGCTAGTAAATAGCTGTGAAGGGCATATATATGTAATTTTATGTTTCACTTTTAAGTTATCTGTACCTGAGAGCTTTGGTTAACTTTTTGTACTTGTAGGGTGACAAGGACAAGAAAATTGAAGAGCTTACCAAAGAGCTGGATCTCCAGGATCATTTATGTTCAGTTTATAAAGAGAAGTTACTTAGTTTTATCAAAAGTGTTGAGGACCAAACAGAAGAATGGTCTTCCAAAATCCAAGTTATTGTTGACAATGTGAGGAAAGTTGAATCTGAGGTACAAAAACAGTCCCACAATAGATAGCCTTTGCATGCAATGCAAGTATTATTATTATGATCATGGAAGCTTTTGCTCGTGGATGATATGTGTTAATACCAGCTTTCATACTTAAGCATTGAGAGCTGTGTAATATCCAGCAGATACCTTGGAAACATAATGGTTCTATTTCTTGCTCTGATGTCAGCGCTGGGTTGTTTCCGTTCTCAGCTTACCCCGGACAAAAGTTAATATGGAAACACATAACTTTGGCCTTTAGGTGAAAAAAAGGCATCCCTATAAGATCGAGGAAACCCAATTCATGTGCGGCTGGAATGTTTTTGCTAAAGAATGATAGCCATTAGGTTGCTGCTTTTTACTTCATTCCTGTGTTGGCTCTCCTGTCCTTGAATAAGGCAGCAGCATTCACAAAACAAGCCAGAAAGCGACTTGGAAAATGGTCTAGAGAACATTAGAATTTTGTTTCATTGTATGTCTACAAAATAGGGATTCTAACATTTAAATAGGACAGATGGTTGTTGTTAGAGTACGAAGTTTGTAGTATGCCTCTTTTCATCAATTATTGGGGAAGGGAAATTTCCAGGGAAGAGCTTCTCCAGGAAGAAGAAACCAATCAACTGAATTAGATCGATCAACAGACACTTGAACAGAATAAAGAAATTGTCATGAAGGTAACAGAGTGAGGTATGAGTAACCTAGGGAATAATGAAATGCAGGTCCTTCTCAATTTCATTTTCTTAAAACTTCCTCAACATGTTTCTTGCAGATTGAATGAGTATTTTAACTTTCAGAATGCACAGTTTCTATGCAGATGTTGTTGGGTATTCAATTTGCTTGACAGCTTATGGAAGGCAGGAAAACATGATGAGGGAGAGGTACCACAACTGCAAGTTTTCTACACTTCATGCTTCCTTCCTTGTTTATTTTGGTTTTATTACACTTTTCAGTTTCGTTTCTGTTTAGAGTTCTGTCTCCTAATCTGTAGCTGTCTTTTTTCACCTTAAACCTTATAATGGCACTTAGATTGTTGAAATTGACTAGGGTGATTGGACCGGAGAATCGTCTAGGGGATGATCACATGAGCATCATAGGCGACGTGATGTGCCTAGGGCTGCTGTGAATATATAAGAGAACTAGGGGTTGCTGGAATTTATAAGAAATAGTTCATTGTAGGATTTTTTTTCTAGGTATAATGGAGGAAGAACTGCCACACCTATGGGGAGTAAGGTCTGGTAGCTCGGGGTGACAGCCTAGGTTTCATAAGCCTAATAAATCACAAGGAAAAACTCCTGTATCTGATATAATCTCCCAATAGTTTGGAACTAGCCTCCTCCCCTTCATGTATACGAGCTACAGAACTTCATTGGCAAATTAGTGTATGAAAATGAATTCCTAGCTAGATACTACTTTTCCTGAAAGTCTTCAGCTTATCCAAGAAAACTACTGAAATTGTCAAATAAGGAAGAATGAGAAAGACAATCAAAACTGAAGCAAAAATCTGCCCCATCATGATGATTGATGTACTAGGTTTGAACTCTGAACACTCAGCCAACCGTTTGACGTTTGAGCATATCACAGATCATTATGATCTTCTCTAAATTTATCGCCTACCAACCATTCATCAATAGATGAATGAAGAAGATAATGTAACAAAAGTGGCATGGTTTTTGTTTCTTCGATGCACTATGGTCAGACAAGTTGGTAGAGCTAGTAAAAGTCCAGTCCCTGATCGGGATAGTCTTTGCTCTAAGAATGGTTCGTCGGTTACCAAGTAGCTTCAATCTGGAGTTGGCTCTATTCTCCCTGTGGCTAAGAGTTCCCAATTTGATTAGTGATGGACAGGTTTTAGTTAGCTGATTATTTATTAGGATGTTGTAAGCTCCTGCCTTATGGTAGTCCCTGTCAAGTTGGAGTTGCTTTTGTCTCTGGCAGGAAAATCCGGTGGATCGACAAAACAAGTTCCAAGAAGACTAGTTGAGAAGTCGGAAAATGGATATATAGCTGTGCTCTGCAGGAATTAATTCTTGATGGTGCCCGGGAAAAGTTGCTGCTCTTAATCTGCTGGCAGAGTGGTAGGAAACAACGCCGAAACGCATCCCTTCTTCTCCACCGGGTGGTGGTGCATTGAATTCAGGCTTGTGGTGGTGTAGGGAGGCGTAAAATAGAAAGCTATACTGTTTTTGGGTTTTCTTCTTTAATCTTCCGGTTTCTGTTTTGGCCTTTTGGGCGAACGTGAAATTACAGGGATTTTCACTTGCTCAGCTGGGATTCATGTTTTATTTGCAAGTAAAAGTTTAGGGTGGATGTTGCCATGTTCTACACATGTGATGGAAGACAACGGAGAAAGCTCACAATCAGCCACGGTTGCCAGCCGTCTCGTACTTACTGTTGCTTTTTTTGAAATCGTCGATTGATGTTGTTGCTGTCATCTTTACCAAAATGCTTTCATTTCTCTATTAGGCTATGAGTTTTCTGCCGATGTGTCAAAATTGTTCCTGCTGACCATAAGATCTTAATTCCTCTTTCAAAGACTATTATTTATGGTTTCTGTTAACCTTGCCGTGAGCAGCAAGTCATTCCAGAATAGTGTTGATCATTTTGTGTGCAACCAGCGCGGATGGCTGCAGATTTTTTTTTTTTTTGAAAGTTCTCTGGTTTCTCTAGAACAGATCTTCCAACTTGTCGAATGTAGGATGCAGTAGGCAACTCAGTCGTTGGCGTTGTCTGATTGGTCATTGGTCGCTTCTCCATCTTCAAATGGTTGTGGGAAATGCAGTAGGATACAGCTCTATCTATTACTTTTAATCTTATACATCGATCTATAAATCAAATTGTGAAAAGTCTGCGATAATCTACTTGTTCAGCATTATTTTCACCATTGGCTTTAGTAACAATAATAGAAACATTGTAGTTATGAAATAAAAGAACAACTAGTATAAAAGAACAGTTAGTTTTCTGTAAGTTTGCATTGGAATATACTAGTATAAATTGTTTAACTTCAATTCTTGAACAAATGATGGGGATGTAGCTCAAATGGTAGAGCGCCCGCTTTGCATGCGGGAGGTACAGGGTTCGATCCCCTGCATCTCCATAATTTGTTTTTATATTTTTCTTGCCGCTAGATGATCGGCGAGGATTTCAGGTGCCCCTAGGTGGCGACTCCTGTTATCAGTTTGATTTGTCTTCCCTTATTAGGATGAGATGGGTGGTTTTGTTCACGTAAACTTCTCTTCATATCCTAGAACTCAGACTTGTAGGTTTCTTGCGTCACCGAAATCTTGCTACATATTCCCTTTAATTGTTTAAGTTTGGATACCGGTGGGATAGTTGCTACCACCAATACGCTAGAAGCTCGACGAGGTTGCCAAGATGAACGGAAAATGGTTGGGAGAAAAGGGTTTTAGCTTTTGCAGCACTGAAGAGTTCTTCTCAATCAAAACTTCGCTTCCATCTTCTTCGTACTTCCTTATCGTACCGTTTCACCGTGATTCCGCCGTCTCCATTGCCATCGACCAACAGAGCTAGGTTTGTCTTTGTCTGGCATATGCTAATTAACTATTTTCAAAACCCAAATAAGAAAAGAGAAGGTTAATTCTAGAAGGAAAAAAAAGCTGATCCTAATTAACCATTTTGAAAACCCACATTTATCCGATTTTGTACATGAATCTGATTTTGAACTTTCATGTATAAAATCCCTCGTTTTAAAAAGGCATTTCTAAACATGTTATTTTGCCAAAATCCCACAAAATATGGGACTATGACAAAATTGCAAATCCTACACAGAAATATATCTCATCAAACAACCCCACAATTCATTTGTTGTAAAATTCCTACCACGATCGGCTTACGCAACACCAATAATCCACTCACTCCCTTCGTGTTCTCATCTCACGACGGATGATTACTCAACTTGGTCTAATCACTGCCAGAGTTCTCAATTCACGCAACCAACGCCAACAAACTCTCACATCAAAACCAATTCATACCTTTCATATCAACCAATCCATCCATCCATCCATCCAAATTTTCATCATCACATCATTTTCAGTGCAAGAAAGCATAAACAGCAGTCGAGATATAACACACGAGAGCAGAGGAAACCAGCAAGACCAGCGCCGCCACCGCATGAATCGCGCTCTTACTCCCGCACGACAGCAGCCCGAGCCGAATCTCGATCACGTTCACCATCGACAGGACCAGGAAAATGCATCCCATCACGGATCCAATCGCGGAGCCCATCATCCCGAACCTCAGAACCTTGAGATTGATGTGGGCCTTGAACGCCTCGTCCACGTCTTTACTGTTGAGCAGATTGATGGCCAGCTTCAAACCCTGCGCGATCAGCGAGGAGAAGAGGAAGAAGCTGAAGGAGACCACCTCGAAGACCAGAAGCTTCTTGGCCTCCTCGATCCCGGCGTCGCAGGAGCTCCGATTCTCGAGGCTGCGCTGGCCTGGGGTCGTGAAGGAGAGCCCCACGAAGACGGCGATTGTGAAGAGGGAGTTGACGTTGACCAGCCCGTCGAGGGCGGTGACGTGGACGCTCGTGGTGGCGCCGGCGGCGGTGGATGGGGATGAGTAGGACGCCCTTTCCCTTCTGCTGGTGGCGACCACATTCTCTTCGTAGTACGAGGTTTTGGGAGATCTGGGAAAACAGAGGAAAAGGGGGGGAAAAAACAGAGCAATTAGGCAGAGGTTTATTGAGCTGAAAAAAGATTGAAACTTTTTGATTATTTGGGATGCGAAGGAGATGGGAATGAAATTATACAGCAGGGATTGGAACAATTCGTCATCAGAAAACATCTTGATCGGTTTTTTCAGATCTGGGTAGAGAATTTTTTTTTTTGGGTATTTCTACTTACTCTGCCATGGATTGGGGAAGGTTGTTGAAGCTTGGAGGGTTTGTGTTTCCCTCCTGCGGAAGAATGCGGCTTCTTGAGGAAATGGAGCTAGCTATTAGCTATATCGGCCTCATTGCTTGCGAGATGTGGAAGAATGTCGTTTGCATTGCTTGTGGGATTCGTTTATGA